CCGCCCCCCCCCAGCAAAACAACTGTCAAGTGACAGGGCTCCAGTCAAACAGCCAAGGAGCAAAAATAACCCTAACTGCAAAAATAAAACCAATCTCCCAAGAGAGGATTATCACTCACATGTGGATCTTGTGCTCTGACCTGATGAGCCTGGAGAGCTCGTACACACCTCACGCACTCACACAGCCGCATGCACGTGCTGCTGCCTCTGCAGAAAGGCAGTGGTAAAAGCAGCCACCTCACCTTGGGCTGGAATAACAGGTCTGCTCAGATGATACAGCAGGGCTCAGCAAAGCCCACCTCCCTGATTTGTAGACTTGCCAAGACAGAAATGCAACACGAGTGAGATGCAATTGCAGAAACCTGTTACTATAGGTAAGGTTTGTCCTTCCAGAAGCCTGAACACATCCCACTGCAGAGGAGACAGGCTTCTTTAAAAAGACATGGCTTGGAACCAAAATTCAAGACAACTGAGGAAAAACAAGAAAAAACCCCACCCACCCCACCCCTAAAAAAAAAACAACAAAAAAACCCCACAACCCAACATACTTTCCATGAGACATCCTGGTGCAAAAAAAAAGATAGCATCACTAACAGAGTGCCCTGGGAGGTCACAAGTGACATTCCAGCCCAGTACCATCCTCCAAGGACCAAAGCACAGGTGGGGTATTTCCATTCAAAGCAAGCAAGAACCAGCTTGCCTTTAAAAAGGGAGGGAGAAAAAAAAAGGGGAGGGGGGAGGGAGAAATCACAGCTTTTCAAAAAGGAGATCAATATTTCATACTCAATTTCCACCATAGCCTAAATGCAAGGAACACCAACATAGTTATAACTAGACTAAAAGGAGAGGTAAGTGTGTGTGTGTGCATTGTGTAGGGGCAATAAAAGCAAACTACAAGGTATTGCTGAGGTGGTGTCAAGTTGGAAGGGAAACATCAAAAATGTCCACTGAATTTGTTCAGCAGATGAGAAAATTCAAAGCAACAGCCTGTCCCTGCTGAAGCCCCACAGAATGCTGGCAGCATCACACTGAGTCTGCATCATCTCAATCTATTATTAGTATTATTATTTATTACACTGTCCCCCAGAATGTTCTGATCCATTCCCTTACAAAAATAAAGCCAAGCCCACCGTTTTCTTCCTGCATACCCAAGTCTCTGTGCCTGTCCCACGCTGGTCAAGCTAAGCTAAAGCCCTCGTAGTGGTCGATGGCTTGCACCAGCCGGGCACTGAGGACCTCCTTGCTGCTGTACTTGGGCAGGTCCAGGAGGTTGTAGCAGGTGTGTGCCACGGGCAGGTACTGCTCCCCGCTGGCAGTGGACTGGATGACAATGCGCAGGCTGGACATGCCATAGATGGGAATGCGGTCGCTGCCTGTCAGAAACACTAGGAGAAAACAGAGGGGAGGCTGGACAGTCAGGGAAGCTGACATCATGCCAAGGGCTGCACCTGAAGGCAAACTCCATCCCCACCTGCACCCCGGGACCCTGCCTGGAGGAACCAAAATGCTGCCTGAGCTCCAGGCAGAGCATGGTTGGCCTGGGAGGGAAGGTGCAGGAGATGAGAGGCAAGCAGCAAGGCTGTTGCTGGGTCCACAAAAGAGTAAATAAAGCAATCCACAGGTCCCTCCCTTAAAATCTCCCTCTTATGGTGGAGTGACTCCCCAGCCACCTCAGTACCCCTTCACTACGGCTCGCTCCCGTATGTCCATGTCTAGTTTGTACACAGGGCAGACCAGCATGGTCACAGCACTCCACATGTGGCCTCATCAGTGCTTAGCAGAGGAAAGGTCACTCCCTTTGACTTGCTGGAAACATTCCCCCTAATGCAACCCCGGGTATTATTCGCCCTCTCTGCACGTTGTTGGCTCATGGTCAGTTTGGTATCCACCAGGCCTCTCAGGGGAGCAAAATTTGCTGGCTGTATCAAGAAACTCAGAATTGCCTGCCCTTAAAACCATGTATTTCTCATCTCCCCTTCTGTCCCCAGATAAAGTGACCCCCCCCCAACTGCTCAGATCTGGAAGCAACACACTCATGTGCTTCCCAAGGCAAATTCTGCAGGGGATTTTCTCTCCTCAGCACACCACCGCCCACACTAGCAAAAGGACACCACTATGAGGAGGAGTGGTATCTTCTACCCAGTCACACCAATGTGTGGTCTCATTTTCCTGCCACATTATACACCAGCTGCTCCATGCAGTTGTGAGTCTACAACTGTCCCACTGCCCCTAAGAAAGAGTGCTGCAAGCTCAGCTAGCAGAAGGAAGAACCACATAAAACATGGCCACTGGGGACTGCTATGAATTTTCCACCTGGCAATGCAACTGATGGATACTGCACTCCCGTGAGAGACTGCACTGGATCTTGCACTGCATGCATCACACAAAGGGTAAAAAAATCAAAATAATTAAAATTAAAAACCCGAGACAGATATGTGACTGTCAGGTAACTCAACAGCCTTGGATCATCTGGATCATCTTCTAGCACTCAATGCAATGTGCCATAACCCTGGAGCTCTGCAGACATTCCCATCCCATTCCCTGCACCCCTGCAAGATACTTACAGAGAAACTTCTTCTTCTTTTCCAAGGGAAATGCATGAAAGGTTTCCCAGAACATTCTCACCGTTGGGTGTGTCGCAGTGTAGTCTCCCTTATAGACAGCGCTCTGTTAAGAACCAGAAAGTCACATCATTTATCTGGCACTGGAAAGCAAACCCTAAGAGCCCAGACCTGATCTCTTCTGGTATTTGACATCATCAGATTGACATCTGACAGTTATGAAATGGAGCACAGGATGGGCCATGGCTCAAAGACCCAGCAAAGGGGTCTCCTAGCAATATATGGAAGGCAGGCATGAGGCTGACAGCTGTCCAGCTAATTACACGTGTCCTGAGGAATCCTAGAGTACCTATTCACAGGTGGGACTCAGGAACAGGACCCTGTGCACTGCCTTGCAAAGCCATTTTACTGTTGAGGCTGAGACAGAGCAAGTAACTTGCTGATTTATGCATTTTGAGAGGATACAACTCGGACTTGGTATTCAGACTCCCCTTTGAACCCCTGGCCATGTACTTTTTGCCCTTATGCAGTGAAGGGAGCTTTACTGCAGGTGAAGACCCCGACTTTCTTTCTTCCCTTCAGTCTCAGGTTTCATCGCTAAAAACAGCAGATAGAAGTCCTTCTCCCCTGTCCTTCTCATCCTGAATTTCCTCCCTGAGCTTTATCAGTAGCAGGACAGCTGGGTATGAAACTTTTCATGGGAATGACAGCCAGGTGTACAAGGAACATAAAGAGAGACATCTGTGGCTTGTCACGTCTCATGTCCCAGGCTAATACCCACCTCATGCGACTGCACAATCTAGGTACTTGTGAAAAGAAGAAAAACAGGACAAGAGGGAAGCTTTACCTCCTCCAATTCCTCCCAGTTGTAGTTACTGTTTCCAACTATCATGGCCCTGAGCTCTGTGGGCTGGAAGAGTTCCAGGACTTTCCCACCACACACTTTCAGGAAGCCAGTGGAAAAGGCCGTGTACCACTCATGGATGGAGAGGTTGAAGATGTAATTTACGTAGGCTTCAACAAATTCTTCCCTAGTGCATCAAGAGAGAGCAGGCAAAGGAAAGCACTTTAATTATATGCCTGAGCAGCAGCACTGCCAAGTTTTCCTGTTTCTGCCTGTAATGTGTCTTGAAAACAAGAGTCTCCAACAAGTTCAACTAACTGCCCTCCTCTCACTGATCTGAGTCACAGCAACATGGACAAAGTATGGGGCAGCAAGTATCACCATGTATCTGCTTATTCCCCAGCAGTGGCAACATGGGAGCTACCCCTACAGCCCAGGCTTTGCACTACCAGTAAACCCACCCCATGGCCTTGCGTCCAGTTGCCCACAGGACCAGGAAGGAGCCAGAGTGACACCAAATCCTGGGGAGGTGTCAGGAACAGAGGCTTCCTCCCTATGAAAACTGTGGCCTGCACAGAGGTTGTGTTAAGCACATAATCACGGTTCAGTGACTGGAGGAATATGTCCACCCACTTGGCCCAGCTCCTGCAGCCCTGCATTTAAGCAGTCCAAGAAATAACCTGTGGCTCTTCTCAGTCTGCAGGTGCCTGGGGTTACTCAGCACAGGGCTCTGTGCCCACCTGCAATCATCTTGGGCTGCCAAGTTGCTGTGAGCACACACTCTGCTGGAGAGATGTAACAGTGTCCATAAGACTGCGACTTCCAAAACCAGGAACCTCACAGAGCCCTAGTTCAGTGAATTTTCAGAGGCAGCTGCTGCTGACTCAGTCCTCAATGAGTCTGTGCCAGTAGTTCAGCACTTTCAAAACCAAAGCTGTAGCCTAGAGGCAGAGCAGGAAATCCTGCTCTCAAAAGTCTTGATCTGAAATTGCATGGCTTATTCTCTCCCCTCCTGCACCCAAAGAAAAAGCCACCAAAAGAAATCAAGAAACACTTCTCACTATAGAGCAAGAAAATAGTCTTAGAAAGCACAGAAACCTCCTCTTCAGCCTTCACACTCTGCTTAAATAAATACAGGACTTGTGCATTTGGAGTACATGGAAAAGAGATTTACAATCTTGTTTTGCTTCAAGGGTTCCCAAGAACAGCATGAAAATAAACTACAACGTTTTGTAGTTATTGGCAAGAAACTTTGGCAGTTAGGAATTTAAGCATCTTGATTCTACTCTCTTTCCTATTCTAAAGGCATCACAATCTGAGTGCAAGACTAGAATTTTATTTGTGCAATGTCTTAAAATATTTCCTGAGTTGTTTTTGTGGGTTTTTTTTTAAACACCTGATAAATGCCCCAGTCAACATGGCAAACTGTGACAGGAAACTATTCTCTGTGGGTGTTGTTTTGGCCTGACATATGAGAGCAGCTCACACCTGCACTCAGAGGTTAAGCAGGTCAGGGAACACCACAGAATACAGTAAATCAATCTATAGCTGAGGAGGCCACAACTGAAAGAAGTATTTTGACCTTTTGGTGGAGGAATTCTCAATTCATATGTTGTGCTGAAGCAGTGGGTGATGGATGATAAAGTAAAAAAGAAAAATAAGGAAACAGGCTGACAAATATGAAAACTTGGAATAAGAAACTATACAGTAAAGGGGGAGTTATTTTCCAGCACATTTTCTTGTTGTCATTTTCCTGACAGTCACCTGAGCATTAGGAAAACCCAAGCTGATTAAGCACTTAACTGTTGCTTAACACCTCTCTGGCTGTTACCAATGAACTGGCTGTTGCCATGAACCCTTTATCAAAAACATCTTATGTTGTGACAATCAATATGAACTCCAGAGGAGAAAATGAAAAAGCAGGCAATTCCTACTGGCATTTTCTAGTCAAAGCAACCCTGTGCATTCTTAGGTCCCCAGTGACCTTCCCTCAACCAGGAAGGGCACTGTCCAAAGACAGGCACACAGCAAACTACTCAGGCCAGGAGGGCAGCAAATTGGTCCCTGGCCTCTAAATGCAGGGGTGGAGGAAGTCATTAAGCACTCTAAGGTGGATGAATTGACAGCCATGTCTAGACTTGGATTTAGAGGTTAGCTTGAGTTCAAAACTCTTCTCAAGATGAAGCAATTGAGTTCTGGAATGTGTTAAGCTCTTGTAGCCACAGACTAGCCTTTCTCCTTAAGGATTTCCTTCTCTTGTTGCCTCTAGCCTTTCTCCTTAAGGATTTGCTTCTCTTTTTGGCCTATCCTGACTTAAACAGTTGTAGGGACTAACCTGGGTGCTCTTCCCAAACATCTAACTCAGCTAATATCTTTGTTCCTCCCCTTAGGCTAGTAAGACACACAGTAGAAGAACAGCTGTTCTTGAGTGTACATGCCTAGTTTAAAAACCTAAAGGCTACTACCACTGCCATTTTCACCTTCACTTCACCATCACTTGTGTA